TGAGAGTCTTGTGAATTAGCATTTTACATTTGAGATGAAAGACAGCAAGCACATAATTATTCCCCAAAGCCGTCATTGGTAGCCTGTCCCTGCTATAGAGCAAATCCTGGAAGCAGCAGGTTTATCTATCCTGCAAACTCGCAGGGCCCCTAGTGTGACAAGAGCATCCCAAAACTACCCTGCGGGGGCCGTGGGGCTGTTGAACTATGAGAATGTGAACTTTTACATTTCCTGTCTCTGCTGCAAGGCAAGGCACTCAGAACGGAGCTAACATTTCAATGTGTTGATGCTATCTCAAGGAGCCCTGGTGGCACAGTAGGTAAGTATGGTGGTTCAAACCTACCAGCTGCTCCGCGGGAGAAAGATGCGGCAGCCTGCTTCTACAGAGATTCAGCACCTTGGAAACCTTATGGAGGCAGGTCTACTTGAACTACAGGACTGCTATGAGTCGGAATTCACTTGACAGCAATGAGCTTGGTTTTGGTTTGAATGTGATCTCAAACCAGGTTTCTACATTTTAAGTTCCTAGAAGACCACAGTGGGAGATTCTTGAGGAGTAAGGCCAAGACAGGAAACTGACCTTTTTGTGCAGTTTGCATCAACTGAATGGCAAGTGTGAACAGTTAATCTTAAAGGTCAAAAGCCTCTAGCTAAGTATGGTTAGCCTGAATTACCCCTTCCTGTGTAGAAATTTAGGGGGCAAGATTTAGGTAGTAAGACTTTAAATTATACCAGCTTGAAGTCATTCTTCAAACTTAAATCTAAACAACATAGTAGTTTTCTAGAACTTATTTTGTCACTAAATATAGGAACACTAAGCCAGCCTCAGGAATTAACTATAATTTCTAGGTTCCCCCCACCCATTTTGAATTAAAAACAACTCAAAAAATAATCATCCAGTTGATACCGACTTACAGGGACCAGGGTTGAATTGCTTCTGTGAGGCTGTAACTCTTCATGAAAGTAGAAAGCCCATCTTTCTCCCTCGGAGGGGCTGTTAGCTTTGAACAGCTGACCTTACAGAACACAGCCCAACAGATAACCATTACGCCACTGGGCTCATCGATTTTGTGTTCAACATCATATACTACTAATCAAACCTCCCAGCAGATGACCCCTCACCCCATAATTAATTCTCTTCTCCCTCCTGTGCATTACTTACTCTTTCCTGTTTTGGTCAATGAGAGCTGATGATACGGAAAGGGAAGGCTCATGTCTCCCCCTGCGCCCCTCATGTTTTGGGGGTAATTAATCCAGGCAATCTGCAGTGGGCCAGAGGTGCAAACCAAAAAGGGTTCCACCAGCCCACTCTAGGCCAAGAGTTGAATTATGCCACAAACATGTTCATCATTAAAAACTCCCTAGCTTTTCAATGAAACATTGGCAACAGCTATCGAGAATGCAGACTATTTTATAGGCTGTCTCTCAACCTACTGAGTCCATTCAAAGTTGCAAACAGAAATCCATGGTGTCCTTTGTGGTTTTATACTTCAATAAAACAAGAAATACTAAAGGAATCATAGAAACTTAACATGCTAATAGGCATAATTATATGCATAAGTTTTTGCTATTCCTGATGGATTTAAAAATAGACCCCCTCCTAAGAATCACACACATGCTTATAAGTACAACACTAAACACCAGAACACTGTCTTTTCTGCCTTTAAGTAGACTTGGTCTTGACTTCCTTTTCCAACTGAAACAGACAGTTCGATTGTTGTACGACCTCAAAGGAAAGGATGATAAATCTTTAAACAGCAATATGAGCTTTTTTTTTTTTTCCGGCCATTCACTTTCACATTTAAGCTGTAACTATTACTGACGCTACTGGGCTCTGGAGCAGACTCCACATGTTCAGCCAGATGCCAGGAACGCACTATAAAGGGAAAACCATAGACTTAAATTGAATTAAGATTCTTTACTATTGGTTCTAGAGAACGAACTCAGACATTATGGAGCAGCTCCATCGGTGATGGCTGGTTAATGTTGATAGAGGACATGTATGATAGAAAATGTGTATGATTTGAAGGATTTGAATAAGACAATAAAGTTCAGAAAAGAAGATGTAGTGTCCTTTGGTCCCTTGTCTTTCAACATAAGACATCTTCTGAAGACCAGGATTGACCTTTGAGCACCAAAATTCTGTATTCATCTTCCTTTCCTGTAACTCTCAAAATACACTGATGCAATTTGAGTAGAGTAAGCATATAATCTTATTTTTGAATGTGCTTAGTATTCACAGAAAGAAAATGATTTCACATATAAAATCAGCTTTAAAAAAATTCTGAATGCAGGCATTTTTCTAATGAGATTATTTAGATTTAGAAGGGTTCTAATTACTTGCTCAAGGTAGATGGAACTGGCTGTAGACTTTGCTTTTTTTTTTTTTTTTTAGCTGCTAGGCCTAGTGCTCACTTACCTATAGCACAGGACTGCTTGGTACTGCTCTGTACTTGATAGGACACACATTAATCAACCTGAGCACCCAGACCACATTAGATAGAGTAGTGGAGTTCCCAAGGCAATGAAGCACAGTGACGAACAGTGCACAGGCACGATGCTTATATTTTGATTCTTCTAGAACATGGTATAGGTATATATTACTTTTGCAGCCCCACTGGATTGTTCCGGCACTCCAAGGGGGCAGTTTCACCCACTTTGGGAAACACTGTTCTAGAGAATCATATTTGCAATCAGGTGCAGGCAAGTTCTACTTTTTGTCCGAACCTCTGTTTGAGATAAGGAAAGCAGCCATTCCAGAAATAGCCACCAACAACATCCACCAGAGGATTGCTACGCTCTTTAGAGAAAAGCCGAGGTTCACTTCCTTCCGTATGCACCATGCCCTTCCAACCACTTCTGTTTCTTGACACGACTAGTAACCAAGGAAGTTCTCTAATGCTAATTCCCTTCCGTATTAGCCCAGAGTGTTACTTAATTTTCCTAGTGGCCCTAGTGGTCTCTTTCCAACCAGCCTTAATCTTCAAGACTCACTTTTCTGGGGACATATCAAAAGTGTGCGTAGAAACAGGGTCTTTGGGTAGAACATGTTTGCCACCACTTCTGTCTACCCATGCCTTTTCCTGGTCATGTGACCCACCCCCCTTTCCCAACCAGTCTGATTCTAGTCTTTAATTAAGTTGCTCTCACAAACTTACTGCATATTCGGTGATCTCTCTGCCATCTAACAGTGGAATATAAAGGATGTTCAACATTCCTATATTTGATTACTTCCAGAAAGATAGGGCATGGATCCATAGGACTTGGACATTATAGAACTATAAAGCCAAGAAGGATAATTCTGTTCAGTGGGTGGACACCCAACTTCATAGATACCACCAGGGTATATGCGCTCCCTGTTGGAATGCCATCCCACAGATCCCCATGGCTTGAACCTCCATTGTACAGTACAATGTCAGCATGGGGCCAGAGGCTGGCTCCAATGAAAAAGCTGTCCAACAGTGTGTTTTTCTCCCGCCTGGCCTCGCAGTTCATGGGGGGCAGGTGGTGGTCAAGGTCATGCTCCAGTAACTACCTTCTTGCTAGGCCACTTCTGGTGTCTCAGTAGTGTAGCCGGTAAAATCACAAAGAGCAGGGGCTCCCAGAGAGCCCAGGTCTTCTTTTGGCAAAACCCTAATTCTATTAATTTATGTGGCTGCTGTGATCTGGGGAAGTAGCACGTTGAGATTCATCAACAAAGAGAATTAGGATGGCACCAAATATTAATTCAGTTCTGCAGAAAATGAAGAGCAAATTTTCCTAACCTAGAAAGAACCTCCCCCTTAGCTCATATAGGCTTTAGAATTGTGTTGTTCCAGACAAGAGACCCCAAGTTTCTGATGGCTAATGAATGCTTGGAGTTGTGCTGGTCAGGTGGACATGTGCTGTCATGTGAGCATGCATGCCAGATTTTGAAGACCTCAGAGTGGAATGATATGTAAATATATAAAAATACAAATGAGCTCATTTGTATTTTCTACTATAATACATTAGGTTAAACAAAATAATTATTAAAATTAATGCCACCTCATTCTTTTCTTTCCCTCTTTCTTTCACTGTTGCTAGTAGAAAATCTAAAATTCCACCCATGCTTGCATTCGTGGCTCACATTATGCTTCCATTGGATAGGCCGCATTACACAAAATCCAACAGCTTCTTGAAGGGTTTTCTTCTTGAGAAAGAATGGGCACCTTATTATCTGATTTGAGGTACAAGTACCCTTTGGGAACACCAAAATACTCCGACAGACATGTGTAGCATAAGGTCCTGTAAACAGCACTATGTGATGCCCAGTACAACCCTGGGGCAGGCCTGGCCAGCCTGCTAGCCCGGGGACTCGCGGCCTGCTCTCAAGCAGCAGGCTGTGCATGGGTATCAAGTTCCCTCATCGGCTCTGCTAGCCTCACAGTTGTTCATTTATTGGATTGCACAATACATTATGCATTTTTAATATCCTCAGATAATACAGAAACAAAACAAACTTACAGGTTTTGAGATGGTGAATCTGCTGCTGGGATGCACAGGTATTTAACGCCCTGTAGAACGATTAAAAAAATGATACTTAGTGGAGAAATGTATTTAGAGGAACTATTTACTCAGGTCAAAAACATAAAAAATAAAAAGGAGAAGTTTTTCATTAGTCTTTGGTTGCCAAGGAACTGGGAGAAAATTCATTAAAGTCCCTGGTCATGGAAACCATGATCACACATACAACTATGATAACTCGAATTTGTAGGCAGTTCGTAAGTTTACACAAAATTCAAAGGTTCATGAAAAAGTGACATAATTAAGAACGTTACCATAAATTTCATCATCTCAGACATGTATTCATTATTTCACCTTTTTCTCTCTCTCAGGATGTTGAGTGACTAAACATGAAGCCCTGTCTGTAAGTCTCAAGAGGTGACTGAGCAGGACAGCCTCTTGTTGCAGCACTGCTAGCAAAAGCAGTGTAACAATAGCCAAGGTATGCTTCCCACACTGCACACCATTTGCTTCATTCTGCTTGTCTGTCAAAAGAGTAATGTTTGTATATCAATGGGCTAATGGGGAGAGGGGAAAGAGATACATACTATAGCCCTTGATAAAAATCTGTAAAACAATTTGTTTTTTAGAGTCATGCTATAAAAATCTGAGCATGAGTTATAAAAATCCATACTATAGTTTTATTAAAAATTTGGTTAATTTTTCTTCTAGAGCAGTGGTTCTCAACCCATGGGTCATGACCCCTTTGGAGGTCAAATGACCCTTTCACAGGGGTCACCCAATTCATAACAGTAGCAAAATTAGTTATGAAGTAGCAACAAAAATAATTTTATGGTGGGGGGTCACCACATCATGAGGGACTGTATCAAAGGATCGAGGCATTAGGAAGGTTGAGAACCACTGGTCTAGAGGGATTTATAACCGGAAAAAAAACACACCAAAAAACCCCCCAACAACTGTCAAGTACAATAGAAAACCTAATAATATCGATGATCTTTTCAAGAGAATATAGCTTTATGGAAAACTAGGTTAATTACAATAAAACCTATGAAAACTGTAATCAGTGTAAGATGGCAACCTGCCAGGAAAGAACAACTGAACTATTCCCACTGAAATGCATGATGGAGAAGTGGTATGACTATTTCCTGTCAAAGACCAAAAACTTGTGAGTCCTGAGAAAACAAAGCAGTCCCATTAATTTCTAGGGCCCTCGAAGGTTGCACTGTATTTTTAAAATCTTTCTTCCTAGGTAGTGTAAGCTCTCAAAACTACACATCATAGACAATAGGGTGGGGTGATACCTGGAAGCTAGAAAAATCATGAATTTGAAAAACAAAACAGTTTTATTGACATTTCATCCATGTATTATACAATTCAGTAGTTTAATCATATCAAGAATTGTACAATCATTACTACAATAAACTTAAAAAATTTCTTCTTCCTTATACTTATTATTGCAATTATTTCGTATTAATTATGGCAAAACATACACAACAAAACATTCTCAACAAATTCATGTCTAATTCAGAGCTATTGATTATACTCTTCGTGCTGTGGAAACATTATCGATATCCTTTTCCACATTACCCACCACCATTAACATAAACTCAATGTCTGCTAAGCAAAAAATTTTGCTCTTTACACATGGTAATCACTGATTAACTTTGGTTTCTTTTTGTTTTTAGTTTTCTTGATATAACATTCACTTATCACACACTTCCACAGTTAAGTCACTTTTTAAAAACAGCTGTATGTATATAATCACAATCAGTTCTCGTGTTACCTCCTCACTCCCGCATTCACTGTTTGCTCCCCAAATTTCCCTCCCCCTCCCTACCTCCCTGTCCCAGATAAACCATTGCATCAGATACTGTCTCTATGCATCTCCTCTTTTTGTACTTCATAAACTGGGAAACATAACAGAAACAATAAAAAGCAAAGCAAAACAGAAAAAAAGAATAGTAATATAAAAATAAAGAGTAAGAAAGAAAAGACCACCAACAATATTTTAAAAGCCAGAGAAGAAATTTCTGCCATGGACAAAGGAGAAATATTTAAGCCTAGAGCAAATTCAGGTTCGGTCCAGAGGGAGGTCAACTGACCAAGTATCACATTATACTGTGGTTTGATCCATCATAATCAAGTTTACAATAATTAGTCTGTTTGGGTCCCTTGCCTGTGGCCAGAGGGGATCTGCCAGAGGGTTGATCTGACGAGATACTCTGCAGATGGATTTTGGGACCCCACTGTTCCTCCTTCTATAAATTGGGTGTTGACAATTTAAGCTCTGATACTTTTTCCTTTGTCATATTTGGATTTTGTTATCACCATTTCTGGATCACACAGGCTGGTATGCTTCTTGGATGTGGACTTAATTGACACTTAACTTAGATGGCTGCTTGAGTAAATATAAGGCTTTAAGAGCCCAGACACTGTTCCAATTGATAACTTTGTTAGGGCGGGATGACCAAAGAAACAAATCCAGACACTCATATATATATAAGAAAGAGTTTCATATCAAAAAGTACCGGTAATTGTATATAACAAAACATCCCAGCCCAGTCCAGATCAAGTCCATAAATCTGATATTAGCCCATAAGTCTGATACTAATTCTTAAATCCCTCTTCAGCCTTATGTAGCCACATGCAATGATGCAAAATTCAGGAAGATTCCAGGCCAGTGAGTGGTAAGACTTGTGGAGCCAAAAGCTGTGGGAGCGTCATGGGGCTGGTGTAGGTCTCTGATGCACGGCTCACGCTCAGGTCTCAGCATGGTTCCACATGGCTTGTCAACAGGAAAGTGAAACAGAGTGTGTGGCCCATATCCAGGGAAAAGAGAGGAAGTTCCCAGAATCCTCATGAGAAGGGCATGCCCACAAGGAGGCATCATTAGGCTGTGAGTTGACTGACAGGCTAGACTCTACCCATACATTTATTTACCAAGTTGACATGAAATTATTTAACTACCACAATAACCATGTCATCTGCTTTCTTCACCACATTTTGCTGTAGCACCACTAACTTCAGTGATCTCTTCATGAAGGTGAGTATAAAGCAGGGCCGTGTTATAAGAACTGATTGACTTATTTTGTGTATCTAGCGTTGCTATAACAGTAATGGAAGTGGATGGCTTTAATGAATGGAAACGTATTTTCTCACAATTTTAGAGGCTGAATGTCCAAATTCAGGGTGCCAGCTCTAGGTAAAGGCTCCATCTCTTAGCTAGTTCTGGGAAGAGGTTATTTGTCTCCTGTCAATACCTGTAGGCCGAGCAATGTGTGGATATGTCCATGTGTCTTGACAAAGCCCAAGGAACTCAGCATATGGACCCTGGAGCCACAGGATGTATGCCATCCCCGGCTCTTTCTTGGTGGTATAGAGGTCAATTCTCCTCTCTGTTGGATTCTCCTTCTTTTTATTCCTTGTAAGATAAAGGGTGAGGTTGTCCATGCTCTGGGGAAACTCTTCCTGTATCAGAGGAGGGCTGTGACCTGAGTAAGGGTGTGACATCCCCTCCTAATTCCCTTACAAATGAATAGCTGATCACATCAGAGCATATCATGACAGATAATCATATCATTATTTAACTGTTAAATCACGTTATTACATAAGTGCCAGCCCCCTGAGTATCATGGCTCAGACAAGTTGACAAATATTTTTTGGGGAAACAATACAATTCATGATGTAACCTATGAATAAAAGAAGTCCGATATGTAGAATAGTGATTCAGATGATCATTCCTCAATATATACATTGTCCACTTCCATCTATAAGATGGGTAATATCTTTTAAAATAACCTGTCTAGAATCATTTGAAAAGATTTGCAGTTGACTGTCTAGTGTTTACTCTTAACTCCTAACATTTCGGTGTTCTATTTGCTAATAAAATCTTACAGAGAACATCTCGATTATGATGGCCCCAACCCTTTTAAAAGGTGAGTCTCATCTTCCCAAGACTGGTTTGGAAGCACAGCATGGGAAGGAGTGCTCGGGGAGAGGGCAGCACGGGCAGTGCCTCTCCTCAAACATGCATCGCATGAGGATTTGGGCACTAGTTCTGGAAGTTCAGTTCAAAACCCCTTCCTCCAGCTCTTCTGAAAGAAGCACACAAAAAGCCCTTCCCGCTGACGCTGACCCCAGAATTTTGTCTGTAACTTCGATCTGAGGGATTCAATTCACTTTCCCATTGCCCACAACTATGAAAAGTCAGAAGAAACCTATTTCCTGAACCATGTTTTTTCCCCCTTCTTCTTCCAGATATGAGTCAATCACTACAACTCCCAACAAAGGCTCATTTGGGTCTATAAACAAATGAGTGTCACTATTGTTTATCTTTTTATAAAAATTTTATTGGGGGCTTGTACAACTCTTATCACAATCCATACATACATCTGTTGTGTCGAGCACATTTGTACATTTGTTGCCATCATCATTCTCAAAACATATGCTTTCTACTTCAGCTCTTGGTATCAGGTCCTCATTTTTCCCTTCCCTCTCCCGCATGAACCCTTGATAATTTATGAATTATTATTATTTTGTCATGTCTTACACTGTCTGACGTCTCCCTTCACCCACTTTTCTGTTGTCCATCCCCCAGGGAGTGGGGTATATGTAGATCCTTGTAATCGGTTCCCCCTTTCCACCCCACCTACCCTCAACCTTCCCAGTATCGCCACTCTCACCACTGGTCCTGAAGGGATCATCTGTCCTGGATTCCCTGTGTTTCCAGTTCCTACCTGTACCAGTGTACCTCCTCTGGTCTAGCCAGATTTGTAAGGTAGCATTGGGATCATGGTAGGGAGGAGGGGGAGGAAGCATTTAGGAATTAGAGGAAAGTTGTATGTTTCATCGTTGCTACAGTGCACCCTGACTAAACAGGCTTTAATCGTGTCAGTAGTTAAATTGCAAGGATTAGTTAGTGGAAGAGGATGGCGAAACAACATATTGTCTCCCATTAGAGTTTCACTTTGCTCTGTTCAGTTGTCTCCTTTCTTGTCTGTCCTAAATTTTCCTGTACTAGGAAGGTAATAGTGAGGCACTTGGAAGCTCT